CTACTGAGATGCACAGCCAGCTACCATTATGTGAAAGTACATATTTTCTTTAGAAAAATATGGCATGGGCAATTGTGACCCAGGATTGGACCTTTCCAAGACAAAGGAACACTATCTTTTTTTTTTTTTTTTAATCCTGGTTAGTCCTGTATTTCTGAGACTATCCCAGTTATTGAAAACAGCTGGCTTTCTGGCATTTAGTTTAAAATATCCTAGACTTGAGGCTGGCTTTGGCACAACAGTTTATTTTGTTGCAGTGATTCAGACTGCTGTGGTTCATATAACATCTAAATTTTGTTATGTTTTTCTCCCGTGATACAATAGATGTATATGGGATACATAACTCGGTGATGATTAGGTAACTATAACCTCTAGTTGGTCTTGGACAGGTCTAACTTTACGCATATTGGTGTAAATATTAATAGGGTCCCCTTTCATGTTCAGGTTCTCTTGGTTGGGACAAAAAGTATGTGGTCACCTTTGAGATGATGCCATTACACCTAGCTCTGTTCAAATGTTAACTTTAAGCAGAGAACTCTTTCTGTAGTGTTATTTTCTTTTAAAAAATTTTTTTATTAGTAAGTGTTTGCAGTACATAATAATTACATTTTGTATGGTGAATTGGTTTATGTACATGACACATCTTAATTCTTTTTTCATCCCCTTCCCCTCTGCTCCCTCCTCCTCCTTCCATCTCTTGATTCCCTTCCCATTGAGAAAATAATGTACTATTGTTTTCAAGGTGAAGTGTCTGACATCTCTATTTTATGTTGTTGCTTGAATTGTATTATACCTAGAAAGGATATGATGTTTTTCCTTTTTTGGATCTTCCTCCTTAGTTTGCTCTTCTACTCTTCTGGGATTGAAGAGTCTTTAAAAAGTTCTCAAGAAACAAGGGATCCCAGTCGCCACAGGTCTGGGAGAAGAAGCTGGCCCTGTTTTTTGGAAGAATCTATACTCAGGATAAGAATGGGAAGAAAATCTAGAGTCTCTACTCTCTCAGATACAATATTGAGCAAGTACTTTAGGTGGGCTGGGTTGTAGTCCAGTTGTGAACCATTCCCAATCCAGGGATGTAATTGCTGCTATCACCCTCTCTTCCTCATCTCCATCCCTCCTTCAGGAGACTCCACCTTCACATACTGAAGTCCAGGGAGACATTTAGAGTTGGAAAATGGAATCCCAATCCATACAGAGGAAGAGAGGCTTGTGTGGCTATCATAGGATGATTTTAGAATCATAGTCACTTGTCAAAATTAAGCCCACCAGAATAACAGATCCATCATTCTGTTTTTCTAACTGCTGAATTTCCCATTTTATTTCTCTTGAACCTCTTATAAGTAAAAATTTGAGAGCAATTAGTAATGTCCCTTTAATTTCAGTTTCACTGGTGATCACTAGTCTGTTCTAAGATTCAACATCTTTTTCTGTCCACTATCAGTATATTATTCCAAATAGCATTACTTTTGTTGTAGATAAAAGAATTAGTTTTTGGCGCGAGTGATATTGAACCAAGTTAATCATTCTAGGTAAGCTATCCTGCTACCTCTTACTTATCCCCAGCGCAAATGTAACTTGTGTAGGCAGCTTTTTCCAACCTTGATCCTCCTCACATTAATACCTCAAATTATAAAGACTCCTAGACCTCTTAGAAGGAAGTACAGCTTTTACTAACCCCTTTCTTCCTTGACATTTCTAAGAGTTATCAGTGGGGCTTATTTGTTTCTGAAAGTCCTGATCTTTCTCTTTGTAAGTAGCATAGAAACTCAGATGCCCCCAAGAGGCCACCGCTTTTTATGATATGAATAAAATCTGGAGAATTTATCACCAAGAATAGCTTGCTTTGAGGTTGGAAGAATAGGAATGTTGGTATTGCCCAATCCAGTATCCAAATGCTATACTCACAGGAGGGAAGCTTCTGTGATACAGTAGGAATTGGGGCTGTAGAGGGGTGGAGGGAGCCTCTAAGAAAGGCTGTTTGTGCCCCAGGGAGTCCTGTTTCTGTAGTAAGTAGCTCTTATCATGATCTTATCATGATCACTAGGACATGATGGGTGTTGCTTCTGGCTTTGTGGAGGACCTGATGGACCCTTATGGATTTGGCCAGCAAAGTATTTTCTCATAGATGATCTAATAATTCATTTAAAATAGACTTGGATCAGATTAAACATTCTTTTATAACCTGCATTTTGTTTTTTACTTAATGAATACTTTTAATGATGATAAGTATTCTTCTATGGCATAATTTTTCAAGCTGCATCATTTATTTTGCCAATTCTCTATTATGACACCATTATTTACAATTTTCCACTATTATGAACAATGATGACTTGAATATTCTATTCCAAACAGCTTTGTGTGCATCAGTGATTATTTCCTTGGATTAATCATTTCCTACTTGTGGAAGTTTTCTGAGTAAAAGTTTCCCAACAACACGACCAGCTTACAGGGGATTCCGAAAGGCTGCTGCTGGTCACCTGCAGCAATTCAGAAGACCGTCTTCTATGACATTTCCTTTAAATGCTCCCTAAGAGAATGCAGCCCTGACTTAGAACCACTTAAACACACTGCTTCTGAGTCTGTGAATGTCAAAGGAGACAGTGCACTTTAGTTAACTCTTTTCTCTCATTACTCTTACTGAATATATTTTTTCATATTTGCTTTTCAGCAAAACATAATGACAGCTGTGTACTAATGATTGCCAGGAAGGGTTTTTTTCTACTTCTCTACGTATTTCTAGGTCAAAGAAAGAGCTTTCATATCCTTTAAAAAGAATGGCAAATACCTAGGGGTGAGGGTGGGGACAGTGACTTTCAAAGGTTCTCCAGTTCCAGAGGAGATTGCCATAGAGAGTTTAAAAAATATTTACTGGCAGGCATAGAGCTATTTTCCTAACCACTGTTGTAGCCCAAAGAAGAATTGTCTTAGTTATGAGTGATCTTTGTCATTTTTGTTTGCTGCCTGGAATCCTCTTAACTTTCTTAAAGCATCCTGTGGTATTTTGGCTCTGGACTTGTGATGTCTTCTTCCTTGAAGGCACAGGGAGAGTTAGGGAACCTTCTGTTCCTGTCCTCAATGCTGTGTTCAAGAGATAAAGAAGCAATTACTCCTCTCCTCCTCAGGCAAGCTCTTTTTCTGTTGGGGAGCCTCTGCCTTGATCCTTTCCCAGCAAATAGAAAAGGAAATGTGGCAGTTCCATAACCACAGAGGTGAGTGGCTGGCTGCTGTCTCCAGCAACTTCAGACTGCATTCATAGAAATGCAGCATATGGGCTGAATGAAGTACCAATCCCTTTGTATTCTATATGTTCTGCGAGCATTTTCTATGCATTACACAGTGGAGACTGGGGCACATGTTGAGATTCAGGACTGAAAAGACTGTCAGTTTCCTCCCTCTAGAAACTCAGAAAGGAGACAGGTATGGCAACAAACAATTGTCATATGATAATACAATGATTTTAATGGGGATTTGTTTAAAGGGTAGGAGGTGTGTAGGGAGGTAGAACTACTTGGGGCAAATAGCCAGTGGACTTTTGGAGGTTAAATAGGTGTATACTCAGAAGGCAAGTGGAAGAGAGAAGTGAATAGAAAGTGTAAAGTCAGGAAACTATAACTGTTCAAAGAGTTGAGTACAACATCAAGTATTCTAATTTTGCTATTGTTACATGAGAGGTAGATGAACAGGAAATGAAATTAAAGTAGTAGACGGGGGAAGTAATGAGAAGTCTTATGTGTCATGTATGGTATACACTCTACATTATTCCCATTATTTATTTTCTTCCTTTTTCAGTTAGTAATAGGCATGTTAGCTGGGCACAAAACTGCCATAATTAAAGTCTGTAGTTCCCAGACTTCCTCAGAGCTAGGTGTGGTCAGGTGACCAAACTTATTAACATGGCAGCTCCAGGGGTGTCTGTTCTTAAAGACAGTAAAGCCAGAGAACATTATTTATTTTTTAAATATTTGTCTCATTTTCTATATCAATTCTGGAAGTAAATACTGTTATGCATATAGAATAATATGGAAAAAACTTTGGGTTTCTGATGCTGTGGGAAAACTTACAGACCCAAACCTACCTGGATTTCTACCTGAGAGAGAAATAAATTTCTATTTTATTTAAAAAACTACCTGTATTATTTTGATTTTACTGTCTCTTGCAGCAAAATCCTAAATAATATATTGAGCAAAGGAGTTTAGATGTTTTATTGTTCTGGTGGAGAGGCAGTGGAGAAATTGAGCTGGACAACAACATGATTAGAGCTACATGTTAGAATTATTTCCTAAAGACTAATTGGAATGGGACAAATCAGAGGCAGGTAGAGCCACATGTTTGATGAAAGAGATGATGTAGTGAGTAGCTTTGTACTGGGTCAGTTTATCTAAGCAGAAAGTAGATTTCCTAAAATTCCTTTCACTGTATGATTTTGTGTAAGGATTGGCCTCAAGATATATTTCCACAAGATTGAGAAGGAGGACATGGAGCACTAATCATGTTTTCACAGAACGTTGTTGTAGGATGAGGTGTTACTACAGCTTACACACATAGTCTTGGCACAAGGCAGCAGCTGGGCCTCCTACTACTGTTGGGTATCCTTTTTCGGTTTCTCCAGCTATGACATTAGATTGTTGACACAGGGTGCCAGCATCTTTTTGCAGGCCACTCACCTTGTAGAAGCTGAAGGTTTGGAGGTAGTGAGACTGATACTGTTCTCATTCCGGTTTTATTGATTGGTTGATTTGCAGTGCTGGGGATCAAACTCAGAGGTGCTCTACTGCTGAGCTATATCCTCAGCCTTTTTTATTTTTTAGACAGGGTTCTTGCTAGGTTGTGCAGGATGGCCTTGAACTTCTAGTCCCCCTGCCTTCAGCCTTCTGAGTAGCTGGGATTACAGGCATGCTCACTCTTCCCTGGCAGCTTGTCGTCTTGAGTTCCAACTTGCCCCCGAGCTCTCCCTTACTTCCTGTTCATCTTCTTTTTCCAACTGCCCGCCCTGCTTTTAGGCCATCACCAGGTGAAGAATCAAGAGCTGAACATACAAAACGTATTAAGCAGTTCCTACAATTGTGTAAGTCAAATCCTTTCTCTAAATCTCGTATCATTTGAGTGAGTCTGCTCTTCTGATTGAACCCTGAGCTATTGAGTACAGTGAGAGCAAAGTTGTGGCTTTCTTATTTACTGCACTGTTTCTAGTGCCTGGAAAATAATGCTCAATAAATATGTTTGAATAATGAGAGATTTTTCCGAACAGCTGAATTAATAAGACTTGCTGATTGTTTGGGTAGAGAACTAAGAGAGAAAGATGAAATTAGCAGGATTTTCTCCTTTGGCAACTGGGTGAAGGTGGTGCCTATACTGAGAGAGGGAATCCAGGAGAGAGAATACTTTAGGTGCACTTTCCAAAAGGATCTACCGAGGGAGATATTGAGTGGAGTGAACTGCGAGATAGCTTTTGTGCAGTAAACCTGTGTTCTTAGAGACTTATTAAATCTGTAGGCTGGAGATCAATCTGGATAGATTTTGCAGAAAATTGCTATCATAGTGAGAAGATAAAACAAGTTCAATTTTGAATATTCTTGTTTGAGGAGACTGTAGGATATTCTTTTGCAGATATGCAGTAAACTGAAATTCAGTTCATATATTAGGAAAAGGGTCTAGGCTGAAGATTTAGTTTTGGGAATTGTTTATATAGAAGCAGCACATGAAATAATAAACAGGATTAAGATAACTTAAATGTGATTAAGGGACCAGACTAGAGGCTAGGAACCAATAATATTTAAGAGTCTGGCAGCAGAAAAGAAGCCTACAAAGGAGCCTGAAAGTAGTGGTAATACGTGAGCCACAAGAGTGGGCTTCCTAAATGGAGGGAAGAAACAGTTTCAAGAAAGAAAAAGCAACTACATTGAGTACCAAATCCTGTGAAGCATTCAAGTTAAGTGAAGACTTTTAAGTATTCCTAGATAGTGCCATTTCTGGGACACACTGGGTCAAGAATGCAGAGTGAAGTGAATTGAGAAGATAGAGATAGCAAAAAAAGTGTTGGAGAATGGAAACTACTCTTTCTTGAAGCTTGGCCATGGAATCAGAGAGATTTAAGATGAGAGTAAAAAGGAGAGTGAGCGCTGGACAGAATTGTTGGAACTAAACCATGGGGATTAGTATTTCAGCAGGCAAGATGTTCTAAATGGTGATAAAATTTGGATGTTGATTTGGGAGTAAGTGCCTGAGGAGGTGGGTGGAGTTGGAGATCACTGGAGTTGAGATCAAAGAAATGGAAGCCAGGATGTAGGAACATATTCAGTTGGAGCCCATAATGGTTTATTTTTGGGTCTTTTCAGTTTATTGCATGTAGGAGTTACACTACTCCAAGGGAAAGCGGACCCCAAATTGTTACATTATACAAGTCGTGAAGTTTTTAAACTCGTGACAAAGGACAGAAGGGACATTCTTCTGGTTGCAAGGAAATCCTCACTTAAGCTGCAATGAACCGCAAGTACTTAAAACCCATGAACCTTCAGCTGATCGTCCTTAGCCAGTCCAGTCTCTACCAGGAACTGGCATATATTCTTGCATTGGTCACCCTGGAGCTGGATTACTTCTCCATATTCTGGATGCTCAATTACAGTACCATTGCAGGCAAATTTCTTCTTAAACGCCTTCACCAGTTTCTCTTTATCGTAGTCATCAGCTATCCCTTGGACAGTGGTAAGGGTCTTTCTTCCTGCCGTTTCTCTGTTGGATTCTTACATGGATATAATCCTCAGTGCCAGCAGGAAGCAGGTCATCACCCTTACTTGCATCAGCAAAGGGGTCGAAAGAGTGGAGGTTCTGGATAGCGGACATACAATACAATTCCTTTTCCTCGGTGGAAATGGCCTGCGGAAGGCGGCTGCGGGAGAAGGCGGGTGGGGGACGGATCGCCGGGAAGCAGGGGCCTCAAGGGGGAGGCAGCTGAGTCCTCGGTGGCGGCTCAGTGACTGGGGGAGCCCATAATGTTAAGTGGAATAAATCAGACACACAAGCTTAAATATCATATGTTTCTCTTATATGAGAAGCCCAAATTATAAATAAAGAGCCAAATAAAAGATAGATAATAGGAAGCAGAAAGATAAATCTTTCTCAAATGGGAAGGGGATCAGGAGGTGGAGGGAGGGGGCCAGGAGGAGGGAAAGAGGATGAAAAAAGAATTGAGATGTGTTACGTGCATGTACCAACTCCACACAAGGAATGTAAACATTATGTACTCCAAATGTGTATTAATAAAAAAGGGGGGCCATTTTGCAGGCACTGGTTGCCAAGCAGGTGATAAGATGGAGCAGAAACATGATAGCCTGAAGTTCGTAATGGATATGAGTGAATTGATAAGATGACAAGAATGAAGAGGAGAGACTGTGGTTGTTCTCAGAGAATGTGAATCTTAAAGGATCATGGGGTGATTTATCCATTCAGCATTCAATAGTAGATGCCTACAATAATGATCTGGAGTATCAGTGAAACATGATCAGAGGAACTATCTATTGTCAGTGATATGTGAGGTAGGGGAGAGAAAACAATTTCAGGTGGGGGAGTAACATCTGAAAGAGTCTAGATTTCCTCACTTGTTTCTAACCCTGACTGCACAATACAACTTTCTTTGAATGATACCGGGTTCTTACCAGAATCTCCATGGGTATTGTGCTAGTCTCCTTTCCATCACTGTGACCAAATACCTGAAAATAACAATTTAAATGAGAAAAGATTGGTTTTGCCTTACATTTTAAGTCCCTGGTCCACTGGCTTCATTACTCTGGGCCTGTGATAAGGCAGAACATTGTGGCGGAAGGACATGGTGGAGAGAGCTGCTCACCTCATGGAACCCAGGAATAAGGGAAGGGCAGGGCAGAGAGAGAGAGAGAGAGAGAGAGAGAGAGAGAGAGAGAGAGAGAAAGAGAAAGAGAAAGAGATGCAGAGAATGTGGTGTGCTGGTAGGCTTCTTTCTTGGTCTGCTTTTGTTTCTTGGAGGCCCCAGCCTATTGGATGGTGCTGCCACAGGCCAATTGTCTCTGAAAACACCCTCACAGATCCACTCAGAATTGTGCTTTAGTAATTTCCTAGTTATTTTCTGATCCAATCAAGTTGACAAGATTAACCATCACAAGTGTCAGTATTTTTTAACAGTCCTCAGGATTCCTAATGTGCAGTCAGACTGGTGACCTCCCCATGGGCAAGGAGCCCTTGAGCATAAAAAGATTGCAATGCTGATGCTGACACGGGTGCTGGGGGTGAAGGAGGGTGCTGACTGGCCACCTGCATTTGGCAGCCAGGGATTCAGGGAGTGGGATGAGTAGTTCGTCTCCAGGATGGGGAGAGTTCTGATTGTGTGCAGCTGGAGCTCTTGGCGGGCAGGCAGGAAGTGAAGCAGTGCCCAGGAACAAAGCATCTCATCACTGCCTGCAGCTGTGCGCCTGTGCAAGTGGGAGGTGGACAGGAAGGGAGGCAGCCCCAGTGTTATTTCCCATTGGGGGCAGCTTCTAGAGTTCTGTCATCAGACCTGCCTACCACATTGAAAAAGTACCATGAGGAACTGGGGCCTATTGCGAGAGGGCAAACAGGATGAGGCTGAGTGCAGGAAACCACATCGTGCTAGGAATAAAGAAGGAACTAGGAACTGGGAGAAGAAAAAGCTTTGGGTGGCTCTGATAATCAGCACTAAATAGCTGAAAGGCTGTCATGTAAAACAGCAATTAGATTTGATGTGCTTAGCGGCACAACATGAACCAAAGACTGGGAATTCATCTCCATTTAAGGGGGGACGTTTCTAACAATTAGCTTCTACTACACCTTGAAAGGGTCATTACATCAAGTAGGATATTCTAGTGATTACCAAGAGACTAGATGACAAGATCTTTAAATGTTTTTATAAAATTACAGCCCTATTCTGGGTAGAAGTATGATAATCTTTAGGATCCTCTAGTCTTAAATTCTAGAAAATTCTTTGTTGTGAATATTAAAGGTAATTAAACAAAATAAAACTAAAAACACCTTGGTATGTATATCCATTGTCTTGGGCAAGATAAAATCTAGTATTTTACTAGGGAAATATAAGTAACAACAGTAAACAATTCAAGCTGACATTGTTTTAAAATTAAAAAAAAAAATAAAAATTGAGGGCCTGCTTCCTTCAATGTGTATATTTATAGTTTAACACGTTAATGGCACTGTTTGTAGACCCTAAGATTTTCAGAGCAGTCTGTTAGGTAATCCTAACAATGTTTCTATTTAAGTGGGTCAGTTTACAAGAGGACAGACTTGAAGCACAGAGAAATCTCTGAGACTTAGGGAAGGTCACAGCATAAATCAGCATTGTGACCAAGAACAACCATTGTCATAATTTGACTAGTATACATCTCTCACAGTGAGCCCAGACTGAATGCATAATACAGACCACACAGATGAATATGGTCCCCACTCAAATGGTAAACTAAGGCAGCTGACAATATAGAAAGAATGTGGGTTATGTTCTTTAGGGAAATGTAGTACATACAACCTGGTATTCCACTGCTGGATTTTTTTTTTTAATATTGGGTATTGAACCACTGAGCTACACCCCTAGTCCTTTTAGTTTTGAGACAGAGTCTCACTAAGTTTCTAAATTGCCCAGGCTGAGCTAGAACTTTTGATTCTCCTGCCTTAGCCTCCCAGAATGGAGGGATTATATGTTGGGATTACCCCCAACTCCACTGAAGGATTATTTAGACTTTGTGAAAAACCACATTATAATCATTTCAAAATAATTCTGCTGTAAAGATATCTGAAATTTCAGAGAAATTAAAAGTAGATTTTAAGAAGTCACTGCTTGAAAGGTGGGAGAAAAACAATAATGTAAGGTGGATTTAGAAGGAGGTAAAAGAACTGATTACTAGGTAATTTTAAGGAATTAGATGGGAAAACTCTCACAGCTTCCCAGAGGTACAGAAAATGGGCAATTTGATCACCAAGGATGAGAACTGTGTTTGGGGTGAGAGAGAGGAGAGAGAAGGCAGTTAGTTAATGATACCTATAGATGTTCAATATGTAAAGTAACCAGATGATGGTGATGATCACGATCATTCTAACTTTGAAAGCGAGCAAACAGAAAACAAAAGGCAAAGAGAATTACTAATCCCTCTAAGAGGATCTAGATGGATGTTAGATTAACTTGTTGCTGACTAGGTATGCTGAGAGGTAAAGGAACCCTTCTCTACAAAAAAAAATAATAATAATGCTGTAAACCTCCTGAGAACATGTTGGAAGTTTTGAGTCTCCAGGAAATTGTGGGTCCTGCAGGCCCTGAACATCTGAAGCTTAATAAAATAGAATCTTTCTTCTTACAGCAAAAAATAGAAACAGCATTGGATTCAGAGGGCATTGTTTGGCAGCTGGTGTCTACAGTGTGAGAAGCTGTTTTGTACTTAAATTTTAAACCTTCTGCACAAATAGACTTACATATTCTCTTTTATTAAGGAGCTATATTTCCTTAATAAAACATGTGTTCTCAATTACTAACGAAAAGTTCTGCATCAGATATTCCCACTGAGGAGACCCTGGACAAGTGGACCATGTCACCACGACCCATGGAATCACTTTACTCAGTAAGAATTCATTAAACTCTAGAAATTAGTGAGTCTCTAAGCTATTAGAATAAACTACAAGCCCAACCCAAAGGCACAAGTGTTCTCATGTTTACCTCCATCTCAGGTCTTTGGAAATAAATCTTTCTATTCAAACAGATTGTTGATGAATAAGTAAGTGGTGAAAATTTCAAGACACAAAAAAGTTTAGTTGTGGAGTTGAATACCCTGTTTGTATCTAGGGTACTGTCATAGGGCACAAGTGGTTAGGTACAGATGAGTGGCCTATGATGGGTCTAGAATGATGGCCTTCTGATTTGGGTTTTCATCAAAATCACTCAGAAGGATTATTTAGAAAGTATGTGCCAAAGAAAACATACAAGAGGTGTTACGGTTTATATCTAAGTGTTCCTCTAAAGCCTCATGCAATCATAGGTGGGGCTTTTGGAAGTCGATTGGATTTTAGGGAGTTATAGCTGACTTGTGGTTAGGAGATGGGGTCTGGTCAGAAAAGGTGGTGCATTCATTGGGCCTCATGACCTAGAAGGGCTATCTTCCCTCCCCAGCTCCTCCCTTTCTGTTCTTTTGAGCAGCTCTTCTCCACCCTGTGCCCCTGCCATGCGATCCTGTCCTGGACCCAGCCAACTATGGACTGAATCATGAGCCAAAATAAACTTTCCTCCTTTAAGTTACGCATGTCCAGTGTTTTGTGGCAACAATGAGAAAAGTGACTAAGACAAGAGGCATGTGAAAAGATGATTCATTTGGAGATTGCAAATATCATTACACATGTATTAGAGGCTAAACTTTTTTTTTTTCCTGTACCGGGGATCAAACTTAGGACCTCAGGACCTTGCGCTTTCAGGGAAGGTGCAGCACCACTGAGCTAAATCCCCAGCCCAGAGACTAAACATTTTTTAAAAAGTCAACCTGATAATACTAAATGCTGATGATTGCGCAGAGCAACAGAGACTCTTCTTCATTGCTGGTGGGAATTCAAGATGGTACAGCCGCTCAGTCTGACAGTTTCTTACAAAGCTAAGCATAGTCTTGCCATACTGCTCAGCAACTACACTCCTGAGTATTTACTCAGTTGAGTTGAAAACATATCCACAGAGAAACCTGAACATGAGTGTTTATAGAAGCTTAACACACAATAGCCAAAACCTAGAGCAACTGAGATATCCTTTAATAGATGAATGGATAAACAAAGGTTGTGGTAGATCCATACAATGGAATACTATTCAGGAATAAAAAGAAATGAGCTATGAAACTATGAAAGGACATGGAGGAAACTTACATGTATATAAGTAAAATAAGGCAGTCTGAGAAGGCTACATACTTTATAATTCCAATTATTGATATTCTGTAAAGCGCAAAGCCATATAGATAATAAAACATCAGTGGTTGTCAGGGCCTGTGGAGAGGAGAAAGCATGAACAGGTGCAACAGAGGGAATATTTTAGAGCAGAGAAACTCTTCTGTGTGATATTATAATGATACATACATGGCATTATGCATCTGTGAAAACTTATATAATGTTACAATACAAAGAGTGAGCCTTAATGTGTGTTAATTAAATAAATCATTTAGGAGGTAAAGAAGTCTAGGAAAGAATGTGGATTGTGACAAGAAAATCTGAATGCATTGCAAATATGTGAAATAGCCTTCCTGAAAGGGAGGGAAAAGTGCTGACCTGAGTAACTAGGAATGAATTGGAGGGTGCATAACTAAAGGCAAGTTAATATTGTGGTGTAGCTTATGATGTAGTTTCCATAAGGTAAGCATTAACAATTCTGATAATGCTATATGTGTGTACTGGCACTGAACGATTAGGTAAATGGATGGTGGACAGTGGGAGCTCAATTTCTCCCTGTTGGAGGAGGAGATTATAGATAAAGACTCATGTGGCAACAGATTAGAGTTAACAACATCAGTAAGAACTTATATTTTACTTAATATAAATACATATGGTTATATATAAAAATATTTGTTAAATATTTATATGCATGCATAGTAATAAGCACCCTGAGCACACAAATCTTGGTTTCTTATACCATTCACCAGTAAAAAGAACCAGGGCTCTTTGGAGTGCAAGATGACCCCAGAACATTTGGCACTGCCCAAATGTAAGGAGGTGCTCAGAACACCCATGCATCCATGCATCTGCACGCACACACACACACACACACACACACACTCTGAAGGATATGTCAAAGGTACATAGGAGCCAACTGAAAGAGCTCCTAATAGGCAAAGCTAGAACATTTTGAATGTCAACATAAATTAGCATTGTTTATAAACCAACATATAAAATGAATACCTAAGAGTCCATACTGATAAGAGAAACAAGGGAAAAGAGATAAATATTCCATGTAGAAAAACTCCAAATAAATAATATAGAGATTCCATACTAAAGGAGAGGAGCATAATTCCCACTCCTTAAGGATGGGCTGTTCTTGGTAGCTTCCTTTCAAAGACTGTAGGTTGGGAAGGGGAAATAAAAGTATTACAGGGGAGGAAACGCCCCAACATTATCTAAGCCACATGATCAAGATATGAACTACAGTCATAATCATGTTGATAATATTTACCTTTGATACACTATGAAACTATGATGAAAGTGACACTTTACTTCTGGGATCCTCCTCTCCAAAACTCAACCCATCTCTACTCATGAGAAAAATTTCAGACAAATTCCACCGGTGAACCATCTTAGAAAATACTTAACCAGTGTTTCTTAACACTTTCCAGGGTGTCAAAACCAAGCAAAGTCTGAGAAGTGGTCACAGCCAAGAAGAATGTAATGAGACAAAATAAATATATAATAAGGGATTCTGAATCAGATCTTAGAACAGAAAAGGTCATTAGGTAAAAATCTAAGTAAATCTGACTAAACTATGGACTTTGGATAATAATAATGTGTCCATGTTTGTTCTTTAAGTGCAAGAAATACAGTATACCATAATTATGTAAGATGTAATAGGGAAAATTGTGTAGGTATTTGGAGGTGGTAACATTCTGTACTGTTAAGTTTTCTGTAAATCTAAAACTTTTCTATAGCTGGAAATTTCTCAAACAATTAAATATAGAACTACCATATCATCCAGCAATCCCACTTCATATCTAGAAAATGAAATCAGTATGTTGAAGAGACATCTGTATCCCCATGTTTCTCGAAATACTATTCACAATAGCAAAGAAATAGAAATAAACTTAATGTCTGTCAACTGAATGGATAAAGAAAATGTAGTACATATATACAATGAAATACTGTACAGCTATAAAAAGAAGGAAATACTGACATTTGCAACAACTTAGATGGAAATGGAGATCATTAAGTGTATAAGAAGACAAGTATCTCACTTATACAGTGTTCCTTTTTTGGTTTTTTGTACCAGGGATCGAACTCAGGACCTTGCGTTTGTGAGACAGACATGGCACCACTGAGCTAAATCCCCAGCCCACAGTGGACCCTTTTGACTTATGAATTTAATTGGTTCTCAAGGACTGGTTGTAACTAAGTCAATGCAGGTAAGATCTGGATGTTTACCTCGGTACATGTTATAGACAACAAGAGGCAGATGAATCTTCCATTAACCTAATTAACCCAAGTTTTTCATATGTCAGGCTGGTCATAACTTGAGGGTCCACTGCATGAAGCTAAAGAGAGTAAGGGGTGGGAGGAATGGGGAAAGGTTGATCAATGGGTACTAAGTGGTAGTTAGGAGTAACAAGTTCTGTTATGCTGTTGCACAGTAGGGTGACTGTACAGATGGATTATGGACTATACCTTTCAAAAAACTAGAAGGATTTTGAATATTTTGAATTAATATGTACAAATTTTGTGTTTTTATATTTCCATTAAAATAAATTTAATTTTAAAAACCGTTCTAAAATAAAGTCTATTAATTAAAATATATGTAAAAATATATATTCCCAGTTTCTCTGGCAGTGATAATTGTGCTGGCAGTATACCCTCTTTAGGTTCATTTGCTCATTGCCAACAGCTGGTTATCAGCCTAAGTAGACTGAGTATTGGCTTTCTTTACAGTCCTATAATTTAGATTGGATAGGCTGCCAAGTTGAGGTCAGTTTTGTTTGTGGGTGCTAAAATTGCCAGATATTAACCTTGGCAGTTAAAACCTTGTATAGTTTCCTAAGCCTATTTCTATTAAATATTTTTTCTTATTATAAAATTAACTATACCTGGATATGTTAAAATGTAAAAAAATATTCCCAAAATAAATGAACAAAAGCATAACATATATCCCTTGGAAATATTACCGTTATTTCAGGATATCTAGGATCTATATGGTCATGAACTTTTGACAAAGAAATCCCTTTTATGATGTCACCAATGAGCATGTACCCATCTCCCAAACACTTCTAGCAACTACAATTTGTTACTGTGTCATTAGTGATTTCTTCTAAGCATTAGCTTAAATGTTGATATTTCTATTGTCTATGCTAAATTCAAAGATTACACAAGTTTAAGAAAAAAATATAATTTGTATTTCTACATTTGAGGATGGGAACAACTACAACAATATAATGAGACACATGCTGCTCTATAGAGTTTTCTTGGAGCTCCCCACCCCGCCTCGCTTGGACATAATTATCATTGCTTGGGAACTGAGATGGAGCAAAAGTTCAAGTGAAAGGTTTACAGGGGAAATGACTTATAAATTGGGCCTTAATGTGTGAATAAATTTTCAGGCAGGAAAGTTATAGTAATGGCTGCATCATAGGACCTCTCACAATTAAAACCCCACTTTTATCTTTGGTATCCCTCTACTTACTTTATTTTTCCCTTTCTCTAAGACAAAGAAACAGTGAAAAACTTTGCTACTCAAAATATGTTAACTAGTAGCATTGATATTGCTTAGAACCTGAAAGAAATACAGAATTTCAGATCCCACCCCACATGTACTGAAGTAGTAGGTACATTTTAATAAACTCTCCAGATGGTCTATTTGTACATAAAAGTTTGAGAAGCACTGTGCTTGCATCTTTATTTCCTCACCTTCCACTCAGTCTTTTAAATGTAATTATTGTGTTTTATCTAATTAATGGATGTAAATAATTTTAATAGTCAAAGAATTCTCAACGTTTTTAACAACAAAATATGGCAGAACTCTTTTCTATTCCTTCCCATCTCCACCAGTCATGTACTAGAATCAGCCACTTTTATATCTCTTAGTTATTTATTCTAATATTTATCTCCAACTCTGAAACAAAATGATCATGTTGCTATTTATAGATTTATTCATTTTATTCATTGCTTTTTTTTTTTTTGGTACCGGGGATCAAACTCAGGACCTTGCGCTTGTGAAGCAGGTGGCAGAACCACTGAGCTAAATTCCTGGCCCAGATTTATTCATTTTAAAACTAACCCATATCTCTTAACACAGCAGGTGAAAATTTAACTTTCTTATACGACCATCTTGACTTGTGTTTACTTTTTGTATCATAATTATAATAAAAGTTTGATTAAATTAAATTTATTGATTTTAATGTTATGGCCATAAATATTATCACTAAGCCAAGTAGTGTACTTTTTTGTTTGTTTTTCGTGGAGTTAATCATTGCCCTTTTTTTTCCACTTGGGTTATATACACCTTTACTTATTCCTAATTTTTCCTTATCTTTCAAACAACTATAAAAATCATCTCAGGACAGTATCGCTATACTGTCAGTTTTTTTTTCTTGAATCCTTTCTTCAATTCCTTCATCTTCCTGTTGTAAATTGGAGTGGCTGCTCCACGGGAAGCCAATACAGCAGTCATTCTAGGAGTTCTTTTAGTCATCATTCTGGAAAATTCTTGTTTCTTTTCTGTTTGGATTATCAGTCTTTAGGATCTCATGATATCCTCCTCATTTGTTTAATCCATCATTTTTGTGGAGGATATCCTCCAGTAATTCCTGGAAATAGATGAGTGCCAAGTATATCTTTTTTGGCATTCAGTATCTTTCATGATCCCTCCCTGCATGATAGGCTGGAAGCCTGGGGATGCATCACTCAGAATCCTCTGCCAGCAACATTCTTGTTTAATGTAGGTCAATGAAAGATACTCATATGAGATTTGGAAGGAAATGAGGTAGTGATTCTTCTTCTTCCATCCAAAATAGTAACAGAGTAACATGGGCTTCTGCAGTGGCTTTCTCACATTTAATTGTTCATTACTAACAGAGTAATATGGTTTCTTGATTACTAGGTAGATCCCACCTACTCTTCAAGCCATATTAACAATATGAGATCAGTATATTAGATCATTTCCTGCTTGGATTACCTGTAATAGAATTTTTTTTCCTAATTGAACCCTTACCAAGAGTGGCTACAAACAAAACAAAAGAAAACAAAACCACAAAGACTTTTTTAAAAAATGAGAATGCTGGCTGAGTTATCAGAGATGGCAAGATTTGAAATAATGGTGACCTCTGGGATATTAGTAGCTCATAGCCAAAGAGTTACATAAACTATCACTTGTACCTAATACCTCACGTTAAAGGCACAGTTTTGGGATACCATGAGGCTACTTTGATATTTAGATACTGCTGGAGTGAAGAGAACAGGGACGGTGGGTGGGCTGGATATTTCTGAGTGCACTGGAGAGATTACCGAAAAGAATGATGACCTCAGAGTTTTAAAATGTTTGCTTAAGACATCTCCCAAAATAATATCTTTGGGAATTACAGTACTCTAAATACCAAAATGTACCAAAATCAAGACTGCATGCCAATGTAACTAAATACCAGACCCAACCTTTAATCTTCTTGCACACAGAATTGTAAATCAAGTTAAATTCACTGCCTTGTCAGGTCTATTATGTGAAAATGAAGCTATTAAAAAAGTATGTGGCCAGGTACGATGGTGGATGTCTGTAATCTCAACATTTTCCCAAGGCTGAGGCAGGAGGATTGCCACAAGTTCGAGGCCAGCCTGGGCTACATAGTGAGTTCAAGGCCAGGCTGAACTACATAGCAAGACCCTGTCTCAAAAAAGACAGAACAAACAAAATCCTCAAAATACACACAAAAAAGTGTATACTATGGACAGAATTTTGTTCCCTCTCCAAATTTACATTTTGAAGCTCTGAAGTTCCAATGTAGCTAATGTGTAGATATGGCTTTATCTGGTAATTAAGGTTAAATGAGGTCACATGGGTGAAGTCTTAATCCAGTAGGACTGGCATCTTTATACAAGGAAGCAATAGCAAGGATGTCCATGTACAGAGCAAAGGCCACGTGAGAACACAATGAGAAGGCAGCCACTCACAAGCCAAGGAGAGAGGCCTCAGGAGAAACCTTCCCTGCCTTCATCTTGGACTTCCAGCATCCAGAACTGTGAGAAAGTTAATTACTGTTGTTTAACCATCAGTCTGTAGTTTACAGCAGCCCTAGCAAACTAATATATTCTATTGCTATGCCTTATTAAAGATCTGAGAGAATGTAGGTTGAGCAGGTCGAATCCAAAATCCAAAACTTTTTGGGCATCAGCATGATAACATAGTGCTAAGTGCCATGCCCATGTTCGTGTGATGAGTCACAATCAAAATGCAGGCTCACTGGGGAGATATCCCAAGATGTGGAGCAGTGAGTGCCAGCAACTCAGCTTTTCCAGATAAAGTGTCTAGAGTCTGGAAAGAAATTGCTTGGAGAAGAATCAAAGTAAATGAAGTATACATGGGAACCATGAGGAAATTGACATAGGAGAAAGAAATAGGGTTAAGTGATACAGAAGAAATAGATCACACTAAGGAGAAGAGATCTCACAGTGCCACCAATTGGCTGCTGGCCAGCTGCCAGCCGGGAGGCAAACAAATTAGCAAATTTGCTCACAGAGAACTGGAGAACTGCACCAGGACTGGGAGAGTCTTCTGCAGTTGGAGGCCTCAGGGAGAATTCAAGGCACTGATTCCCGAGCAGCCTTCTTTAGTGGTCAACAGTTGGTGAGTGACCTCAGTACAAGCACTTGAGGCAACAGTCCCATGGAGAGGAAGCTGGAAGAGACACCATTGTAGGGAAGGGCTGAGTGTTGAACCTGGGTCCTCTTGTCTACTTCACACTGCCAAGTTTCCAGACTGGATGAGGGAAAGGCAGTCATGGGAGACTGCCTGCATTTGGAGAGCAGATGGGGGGAGTCCCACTGAGAGGCAGGGGCTGGTGAAAACAGACCCAACTCTCACCACAGACCACATACCCAGGATTGGAAGCTCACATTCGTGCTGATTCCCACTGTAGGCAGATCTCTACACCAAGCACTGTTCTGGGGGCAGACTGCCACCTTAGACTTCCAGCATGAACAGAGACATGTCTTGGCCTGAGCTCTGCTCCTTATCCCTATGCTGAGGACAAGAGCCACTTGTCCAAAGCAATAGAAAACTTTCTTTTACTATTCCATATTTGATTGTATTTTTTAAATTTTACTTAAAATTTTTTTAGTCTTTACTGTTTTTCCCCTTCTGTATGTTTCCCTCCACACTTTTATTCCATTATTTTGCTTTTCTTTTATGAGTGTGTGTATGTGTTAG